TTTGTGTGGGAGTGTCTGGGTGTATTGTATGGATTGATTGGATGTTTTGTAACGCCCTGTGGGCTGTACTATGTTTGTGGATTGGGAATAAAAGAGACTGTATGTGACAGTACAGAGAGTTCCTGTTTTAACCCTCAAAGTGAAGTGTTGTCTCATTATTGGGGGAAGGATTCATTGTATGCTGTTCCAGTTTGACTGCTAGGAGAGTAAACCTATTCGTATGGTTCCTATTCAACTGTCTACAACATTCATATGCTTGAGAGGATTCATATGCTTCTCCGGTTCGGTGGTTGTGGTGTCTGCTGCAGTGCTTGGAGTCCTCAGGAAGCGCTAGGAGCATCCTTTAACAGAGGTACCCAGTCGGGGTGCCAGGCGATCCGTTACACTCTACAATAACACATCCCCTACACACTCCACTCCCTGTGAGCGAACTCATGGGTGGGTGGAACTTATGAGTGGGCTTTATGGGCATACTCACCGTCAGGCCCTGGGGCCCAGATCCCAAAAAATGGAGCTGCTTCCAATTCTCCCAGAACATTGAATTTTGTGACCACAGTTGCAAACAGCCTCCAGAGATCCTGTTCTACACCAGACCAGTGGAGCCAGACTGCAGCCCATCATCATCCTCATCTGCTTGTAAGTAGGCAATCTAGTATATTATTAGTGACACTAATCTATAATGTACCTCACATTAAAGGGACACTATGGCTTAATGAAGTGGTTCTGGTGTCTATAGCTGGTCCCTGCAGGCTTTTTAATGTAAACACACACTGTGTGCAGCACTGGCGTTAGTTCATATGGGTGGGGCATTGTGATGTTACATGGGGGGGCAGCAAATTTTTATTTTGTCTAGGGCGGCAAAATCCTTGCACCGGCTCTGATCCTGGGCAGGTGCACCAGTCTACTGGTGACCCACAGGAGGGGAGTGCACTGATTGCACTGCACTCTCCTCCTGCCCAGGAGAGACACAGGGAAAAGGGGGAGGGAGAGAGATGGGGAGGAGGGGAGAGACACAGGGAAAGGGGGAAAGGAGAGAGGAGGGGAGAGACACAGGGAAAGGGGGACGGAGAGAGATGGGGAGGAGGGAAAGACACAGTGAGAGAGTGGAGGGAGAGAGATGGGGAGGAGGGGAGAGACACAGGGAAAGGGGGGAGGGAGAGAGATGGGGAGGAGGGAGAGACACAGGGAAATGGGGGAGGAAGAGACACAGGGATAGGGGGTGAAAGACACAGGGAAAGGGGGTGAAAGAGGCAGAGGGGGAAGAGAGAGACAAAGAGGGAGAAATGAGAGAGAGACACACAAGGGGAGGGGAAGAAAGAGGCAGAGGGGGAAGAGAGAGACTGGGAAGGAGAGGGGAGACATTGACACAGAGGAGCAGTGAGGGGGAGAAAGAAACATACAGAGTGACTGGGGGAGACAAAAAGGCACACAGAGGGGCTGGAGATAAAGAAACACACATAGGGGCAGTATATATCACAAAGCCCCCAAGGTTTTCCCCTGCCGGACGATCTCCCTCCCCGTTCCACAGGCACCGTGCAGCCAGTCGGCAGGGGAGGAAGAGAGGACCTGGGGCAACGCTCCGGCTCTCACGAGGGTGAACTCTAGCCCTGGAGCTACGGGCTAGAGTTCACTCTCACCACTTCCTGGTGGTCCCAGTAGTAGGAGTGAACTCTAGCCCCATACACACACTGCCCCACACACACACCATACACATTTACACACTGCCCACCCACACACTGAACCTTTCACACACATTGCACCACTGCTCCTATACCCTACTACAGCCCCATATCCCAGCAGACTCCAGGTAAGTTGTCAAACTGTTCTTAAACGGTTTGACGACTTACTCTGGGAGGGGGTGCCGACGCTCCTGGCACCATAACCACTACACAGAGGAGTAGTGGTTATTGTGCATGGAATATTTCTTTAAATAATCTACAAGTGCCCCTCTCAGGCTCAGGCTCTGGATCCGCCATTAGTATATGACATGTATATTAATGTGTGTATTAGTTTTATATCTCTATTATATTTACACATATTAATGTACATTTATAAATGCATAATACACAGAGAAATTTCATTAATATGTACCATATGTAATGAGCAGATATTGGCCCAGTCTTGTTGCTAGGTGCATACTCCAGCACAATAACATATTTAAAGTGAAGAGCACACCCACAGGACTTCAAAATAAAAAAATTTCAGTTGTGCCCTACATACATTCACCATTTCAGTCCCATTAACAAGCTTTCCTTAATATGTCAAGGTAGTTGGACTGAAACATTGATTACATGCAAAGGCACGTCTGCTTAAAATAAATCTGCACTTTTGTTTATTTTGAAGCCTATGAGTGCGCTTTTTACGTTGAAGTACTTTTTAATTTTAAGTTATCTGTTCTAACTCTGTATCTGCACACTATGCTGGCGCGATGCCTTATGGGGCTGGTAAAAATTTTTTTCCAGGGCTGCTTTTAATTCCCAGTCCGGCCCTGGCACTGAAGACACTTTAACACAATTTATGGCTTATATTAATGATAATATCTCATTAGTTTTTTCACCAGTTTTTAACCCCTTAAGGACACATGACGGAAATATTCCGTCATGATTCCCTTTTATTCCAGAAGTTCTGTCCTTAAGGGGTTAATAAAAATGAAATAAATTTTTGGGATCTTACAATTTTTATTAAAGATTCAAAAATACATACAAAAACTTTTTTTAAGCCGACATATGCAAATGGCTATATAAACACTGATAGTAGTCATCATCTAACCTGGCTCCGTGGAGTGCCTCGGAGTCAGTTTACGAGATTAAGGAGAAATTGTACTGATCAAGACCTTTTTTTAGATCAAACTTCCATTTTAAAGACAAAGTTTTTAGAAAAGGCTTTGCAGAGAATTTTATCAATAAAGAAATTACACGTTCTTTTAATCAAAATAGAGGTGATTTGTTAATAAATAAGGAACTTATTCCCCCCGTTACCAACAAATTTGCGTTTTCTTTTAATACGCAATATAATGTCCATGCAACAAAAATTAAGAAGATTCTTTATAAACACTGGCCACTTTTATTAGAAGATGATTAACTCCCGTACCAAAAATTATTATAAAAATGGTAGAAATTTAAAAAATTTATTAGCACCCAGCACCTTTAGAAATAACGAACAGCGAGAAAAAAAGAATGGAGGATGTTTTTCTTGTGGGTCATGTAAAAGTTGTAAATATAAGACACATAAAACGGATAATTTCAAAAGTTTTAACACTGGAAAAAGTTTTCGGATAAAAGAACCCATCACATGCAATACCACACATGTGGTATACCTTTTAACGTGTGGATGTGGGGTACAGTACGTTGGCAGGACAATTAGACCATTAAAGAAACGTTTTTAGAACATCAAAACAATATTAAAAAGAAAGTACACATTCAGTCTTAGTGCACTATAATAACTGTAGGAGTTTTAATTCAAATAGTTTTTCATGCATTGGTATAGAAAAAGTTTCCTTAGATGATAGAGGGGGCAATTTAGTTTTTAAATGAAGACATTAACCCTACCCCTACCCCTCCCGTAACCCTTACCCTACCTCTATATTATTCCTTTCACATACTCCTATTATACTCATATACATTGCGCCTTCTGTATCAGATTATGGTTTATGATGTGAGGGCAATTGCTTTTGCAATTGGCAAGTTTACAAAATAACCCAGGAGGGAGAAGGCAAATAAAGGGACATTATAGGCACCCAGACCACTTCAGCTCATTAAAGTGGCCTGGGTGCAGTGTCCCAGCACCCTTAATCATGCAAAGGTAATTATTGCAGTTTTTAAAAAAACTGCAATAATTACTTCTATGGGTTAACTGAATAATGCTTTCCTATAGGGAAATCCTATTGCGAGCATGGCCATTGCCACATATGCTCATTAGGTCTTCCCCGCCAGCTGACGTCGGTGGGGAAGGAGAGAAGGCAGATGCGAGCCAGCGCAGAGGGACACCAATCATGAATGGTTTAACCCCAAAGTCTCCTCTCCAGCGTTGGACCACTTTTCTCCCTCCAACATACACTTAGTGAAAAGTATGAAAATGAAAGCCTAGGAACGCCATTAATAGGGGCGCCACTGATTGGCTTAGAGGAGTCTGCTGACGATCTCAGCCAATAGTTGCTCTCCATTCAGTAAAAATGGCTTAAGGTAGCAAAAAGCAGTAAAGGTTACCAAAGATTCCAATGAGAATATGTTGTGGTCATTATACTCTTCTGAAAATATTTTTTGTTATATGACTGAATAGTATTTGCTGAAAGTGCTGCTTGCGCTAATTTTCTAACAAATTATAGTCAAGTCAAGGATTTGGACCACCCTTTATTTGCAATAAAACATATAGCTTGATTGTCAGACAAGCATTTAACAGTCTGACCGGACCATAAGTGGCCCCAGGTTTGGGCTGAGGCAAATATAGGGTACACCTCGAAAAGAGCTGATGTGTCTTTGAAGGCATCTTTAGTTTCTGTTGGCCAAGTTCTGCGTGATCAATCATTACTGGAGATGTCTGCAAAGCCAGTTAAGGATGCAGCATCAGTCCAGATTATAAGTGAATTATCTGCTAGAGGTGGAAGAAACATGGGCTTCCCATTCACTTGTGTAGAAACCTCTACATAACAATGTCTGCCAAAGCCTGTTTATCTATGACGACTAGAATGTGAATGTTAGCAGGGATGCGAGAATTTTTCTCTTTAGGGAGAGTCCATGGTTACTGAATCCAGCTGAATGCCTAGGAAAATAACTTTAGTGCCAGGACCTTCGGTTTTATCTTTTGAGATTGGGACACCTAGATTACTGAATAATTGAATGGCGTCATTTCAACTGCTTGATGGTTTAGAATTGTTCTCTACTGTAAGAAATTCATCCAAATAATGGATGACTGTAGGACATCTACATGAATTAAGAAATAACCAGCATAGTGTCTCAGCAAACATATCAAAAAGCCTGGGAGTTCTCTTTGATCCGAACGTGAGCCTCGTAAAGAAATAGCAGTTTTCCAACTTGATGCCATGTAGATGCTATAGGGATGAGTGTATAGTGAGGAGTTTAATTGTGTGTACAATAACTGTCTATTGCTTAACAATGCACCAATTCCAGCTGAAATGATAGCTATTAGCTTGAATGGCGTTGTCTATTGTAGTGTACTGTTTATTGGGCAGACTAGATGGGCCGAGTTCTCATCTGCCGTCACATTCTATGTAGTGAGAACTCTTCAAACGTGATTAATGAATTTAGGCTAGGCATGGCTGTAGAGTTGGGAGCCAATAAGTCAGTTATTAAACTTTATCAATTTAAGTTTTTTTCGTAGCAAAATCTTTTGGGTCAGTACACCTTACAAAGAAGGGAAACTTTAAATGGGCCTATTTAGAATCCTTGTTCTAATTCTGGTTTTATGAGGGAGTTGACTGCAAAGGATCTCTCAAAGCTGACTGCAAATTATTGCATTCCAACATGCCTGTCGGCAAGGAAAGTAACCCTGTGTGAAAACCATGAGTAAGCCCTGAGATTAGGAACTTTTTTTTAGGAACTTTTTTTGCCCTGATACATACAGAACAAACATGTACAAGTCTGCAAGAACTAAAACCAAAGAACCAGCATTAAAAAGGAAACCATTTGGGCTTTCTCAAGGAAAAAATAGGTTTCCAGTTTGTCCTCCTAATTCTTTGTTGCATTAGTAGTATACTGAAGGCTAGTGGTAGGTGTGTTAGTATCAGTAGGGCATAGGTTGTGTGACCCTGTGATGTAGAAGAACATATTGCACATGCTGATGTCCTTATGCCTGCAAAATGCCTGCAGAAGAGCTCATAAGATAGTATGACTCCAGACTATGAAACCGCGCGGCGCAAGCCTGGCTGGGCCGAGGGGCGAGGATCTGAGTAGAGGATAATGTCCTCCCTCTATTTGTAAGCTAACGCAATCTAGTATATTATTGTAATTCTAACATTAACCTATAGCCAGTAAAGAACTACCTTAATTAATGTAGGGAGTTTTTTGGAATGAATTAAACGAGTTGTATTTGAAACGTAGGTGCCTGTTAGAGTTATTTGACCATAGCATGAGGAAGACTAATCAAAATTGTGGGACTAGAGGGGGACTCCAGTGAAAACTAATAATAATGTAGGGAGTTGGTATGCCAAATGCTCTAGACCGCCCCTGGGAAGACTAATCAATGAATTGTGCCAGAGGACTAAAATGAAATGTATGCATGACCTAAGTATGTAATACTAGAACAAATCTAGACTAATGACATATATAATGGTAGTAATAGCTAGGTTTATTAACACACCTGTTAGGGGATTAATGAAACCTTGAGATTAATCTGGATACCAAGATAGAATCTCCAGGCTAATAGAACAAATAATATATATGGATACCTTATTTATATTGGACCTTGCTTATAGAGGATACTTTCTATATTATCACAGTATTGGTGGCTAGTTGATTTATTCTATAAGTCTGGCATATTAAGGTATGTACATTTTTATCTATATATACACCCTGTTCCAAATTATTATGCAAATTCTATTTAAGTGTCACAAAGATTAAATATTTTGTTTTTCAGTTTAACTCATGGATGGTATTGTGTATCAGGGCTCTTTTGATCACTGAAAACAATCTCGGACACCTGTGATAATTAGATTGCCAGGTGAGCCCAATTTAAGGAAAAAATACTAAAGGAGGGTGTTCCATATTATTAAGCAGAGCACCATTTTCATGCAATTTGGGGAAGAAAAAGGATCTCTCTGCTGCCAAAAACAGTGAAATAGTTCAATGCCTTGGACGAGGTTTGAAAACATTAGATATTTCACAAAAACTTAAGCGTGATCATCGCACTATTAAGAGATTTGTGGCTGATTCAGAGCACAGACGGGTTCGTGCAGATAAAGGCACATTGAGGAAGATTTCTGCCAGATCCATGCATTGGAGAGCAGCTGCTAAAATACCATTACAAAGCAGCAAACAGATATTTGAAGCTGCTGGTGCCTCTGGAGTCCCACGGACATCAAGGTGTAGAGTACTCCAGAGTCTTGCAACTGTGCATAAACCTTCTATTAGGCCACCACTAATAAAAGGTTAAACAAACAGAAACAGCTGCATTGGGCAGAAAAATACATGAAGACTAATTTTCAAACAGTCCTGTTCACTGATGAGTGCCGTGCAACCCTGGATGGTCTAGATGGATGGAGTAGTGGATGGTTGGTGGACGGCCACCCTGTTCCAACAAGGCTGCAACATTAGCAAGGCGGTGGTGAAGTCATGTTTTGGGTCAGAATCATGGGAAGAGAGCTGGTTGGCCCTTTTAGGGTCCCTGAAGGTGTAAAGATGACATCTATGTGCAGTTTCTGACTGACCACTTTCTTCCCTGGTACAGATGGAAGAACTATGCTTTCCGTAATAAAATCATATTCATGCATGACAATGCACCATCTCATGCTGCAAAGAAGACCTCTGCATCAATGGCTGCTATGGGGATAAAAGGAGAGAAAGTCATGGTGTGGCCGCCATCCTCACCTGACCTCAATCCTATTTAGAACCTTTGGAGGATCCACAAGCAAAAGATCTATGCGGGTGGGAGGCAGTTTACATCCAAATAGCAGCTCTGGGAGGCTATTTTGACATCTTGCAAACAAATTCAAGCAGAAACTGTCCAAAAACTGACAAGTTCAATGGATGCAAGACTTGTGAAGCTGCTATCAAATAAGGAGTCCTATGTTAAAATGTAACGTGACCTGTTAAAATGTTTAAAAAGTTAAAATGTTATTATAAGTTTGATTGAAATAGCTTTTGATTTTAGTAAATATGCTGCAAACACAACATATGACAATTTTCAGTTCTTTACAACCTATAAAGTGTTTTGAAACTTACTGTGCGTAATAATTTGGAACAGTGCATTGTAAGTTTTTATGTTTAAAAAAAATACTGTTCTCATTAGGTTTGTTCAATACAATTTGAATTGTACTCTTAATAGTTGATAACATGAGAATTATGCTGACTGTTATTTACATCAATTATTTAGGTAAATAAGAAATATATAATTTGCATAATAATTTGGAACAGGGTGTATACATGGTCACAATTATCAAAATTTACCGTATATGTATCAGGAGGAGAGTGTATAAGTCATGGGTCTCCATACACTTTACTAACGCTTACGATTATAAAGTTTCTATTAGGTTCCACTATCCTGTCGTTAGGAAACTTAATAGAAACCTCTTCAGTTATTACCTTGTAAGTTACTGGCAAACATTTGTGCCCCTGTATGCCAGTTTAGGTGCTAACTCAGAGTCACAGAGGACACTTTCTTACATTTTTTAGATTATCACAGTATTGGTGGTAAATTGATTTATTCTATAAGTCTGGAATATTAAGGTATGTACATTTTTATCTATATATCTACAGACTGTAAGCTCGTTTGAGCAGGGTCCTCTTCAACCTATCGATCCTGTAAGTTTCCTTGTAATTGTCCTATTTATAGTTAAATCCCCCCTCTCATTATATTGTAAAGTGCAATGGAATCTTTTGGCACTATATAAATGGCAATAATAATAATAATATATATAGATAAAAATGTACATACCTTAATATGCCAGACTTATAGAATAAATCAACTGGCCACCAATACTGTGATAATATATAAAATGTAAGAAAGTGACCTCTGTGACTATGAGTTAGCACCTAAACTGGCATATAGGGGCCTAAACGTTTGCCAGTAACTTATGAGGTAATAACTGAAGAGGTTTCTATTAATTGCTTCCTAACAACAGGATAGTGAAACCTAATAGAAACTTTATAATCGTAAGCATTAGTAAAGTGTATGGAGACCCATGACTTATACACCCTCCTCCTAATACATATACGTAACATTTTGATAATAGTAATCATAACAGATCATAGTACGTGCCGGACTACTCCTAGAACTTGGATGCATAACCAGTAATGATGTTGAGTAACGTAAAATTTCCCTCCCTTCATATCGCAAGATTATAGCAATTCTATATGTGACATATTTATTAAATGCTGTTCATACATATTATAATTACAAATAGTATGAATTTTTTTTTTTTTTTTTAAGTAATAAAAATATAATCATGTGAGTCTAACCACAGGTTAGCCTCCTATTTACGAAAAGATGTTAGGTTTGAACCGAATTGAATCAAGAAAATAGGAACTGTGTCTTCAGTAATCGTTTGTGAAATGAGACAATGAGTCAGCTGTAATAATATGTGCTGCGTCAATCAAGATACGGTCACTGGCTAGAGAAGGTAAGTGCTTTAAACTAGTCTATCCCACAACTCCAAGCTCCCTATCTATCTCTTCTCTCTGACCTGCCTAGTTTTCTTGGTGTCAAAGAGGATTAGCCATGGTGCTCTAGTCTTACATGTTAGAATTATCTGGCAGAGGATATTTACAGCTATATAAGCCTTGGGTTATGGTTTTGGTATTGATAACGTATATGTTAAAGGGTACCAGATTTTCTGCTTCATTGGAGTGGTGATCTGGTGAACACACTCTGTATATACAGGGTGGGCCATGTTTGATTACATTGTTCATAACATTAGTTCATGTTTGAGGCTCTAGCGCTTGTATTTTGCCTGATAACTTCCTGCGAGGTCATCCCGCAAACCACGGTGCATTTGGTAGGATGTAATTGGTGCTGATGAATTATCCGTGTATTTTCTGTACCCCAGAAACAACAGCTTTGCTTTTTGATGAAGCCATTTGAAAAGAGTTTAGTCTGACATGATGTGTTAATGAATAAATTAATTGTTTTCCGGGGCTTATTCGTTGTTCCTTCTTGAAATTACCCATGATGAATCTCCCAAGTAATAACTACCTGCAGCAAAAAAAAAAAAAAAACCACTAACAAGTTATTTGCCTGTTAAATCCTACTCTGAATTTTGGCCCACCCTGTAGTTTTCACAGTTTGCTGTATGTGTCTGTACTTAAAATACATGGCAAATACATTCGCTCTATGGCAATCTTAACCTGATGACACAAACTTGGTATTGCTGATGGAAAAAAACTAAATGTAAAATGACATCTTTTAGATTTACCCTTTGATTACTAGTAGAGACATATAATCTGGAAATAGACATAACTAGAAAGAAAGAGTAAGATGTACACGTGTATTTATACTATACTGAACAGTTTTCTATTTGATTTACTAAGAAATCACTTTCAACATGAAATAATATCTACCTTTTCCTCATATGTCCCAGTTGTATTTGAGCCTACCCAATATTGCAGATGGTTTCCTAATGGCAAGTTTAAATCCCTTATGTTCAAGTCCTGGGTGTAAGACCTCCCTAATAGAAGGAATGTCTGATGGTCTTCGGTGTCTTGATGATATTAAGAAGATATTAAATGATATTAAGAAGTTATACAAGATGTGATAACTATGATCTTCTCTTATTTTGAAAGCAGTAACCAGACATAATAGCTTAAGATGGAAGCCCCCCCCCCCTTTTTTTTTAACTCCTTATTTTTTTAGTACATTGTGACTTTTGTTGCAACATTGCATTTGACACAAAATGAGCCCTGAAAGAGTTGTAGACCTTTTTTATTTTCTTGTATATGTAATATTTTGTAATTGATATATAGGTTTATAAGCTTTTTCAAGTTAATATATCATGTGACATACTGTGTCACAAAAACAAAATAATATATACCTTTGTATGAACTGCTGCTTCACAGAACAATATTGTCAAATTGCACAATAAAGACATACAAATGTTTTATCAATCCATTTTATTTTTAAGCTCCTTAATAATTGACCACCACAAAGTGCCTTTAATGAAAAACCAACAATTTTATTTGCAGTTTGTAAAGATGCTAAACCACTCAAATAAAATATAAAATTGCAGGAGATGCAAATGTAACCAACCTTAATGTCCCAGGGCACTTAAAACCCAGTGTTTCCTAATGATAAGGGTGCACCCTTGACACCACAGATGTTTCTGAAATAAATTATGCTCAGACATCCTTCCTATGGCCACACTATTGTGGGTGCATTGTCTGATGTCATACCTGTTGCCATTAATTGATGTCATGCAAACATATGCAAAGAAGAGATTTCTGAGCTTCCCAATGACTTTTATAAGAAAATCCTAGGGATTAATAAGGCAGCCTAATGACTGCCCCCCAAGCAAGGTGTAAATATGACAAATATTAATTGAGGTTCCTCAAGATTGTCCTAGCATGCACCTCTTCCCTCACAACATATACCTTTGCTATATACAGCAAGGCTGAGAAGAACAGGATATTTCTGTGTATTCTAGAACTTTTGGAAGGTTGTCTTGTCTCATCGATGCCCAACAAGAAGAAGGATGAACCATAGAGGTGTGTGACTTGCTGTTGATGATTTTTGCCTTACAGCATAACCGATTTCAAATGGTGCTAGATATAATCTTGAGCCTCTAAACACCAAAAGAGATCGGTCATCCTGTGTAAGGGAGTTTGCTGAGACACCACGTCGATGTAGAAGAATTATTAGTCCAGTGTAACCTTGATTACTTACCATCACTAGTTTATATTGCTGCTTTTAACATAACTAGAAAGTTCCTCTGCTTTTGAAATGAATAAAGAAGCTCATTTCATAACCTCCCTTTCTTGTCTTATGCAATTACACCATAATTATTATTATTATTATGTTATTATTTATATAGTGCCAACAAGTTCTGCAGCGCTTTACAGTGGGTGGACGAACAAACATGTAGCTGTAACCAGACAAGTTGGACACACAGGAACAGAGGGGTTGAGGGCCCTGCTCAATGAGCTGCTAGAGGGAGTGGGGTAAAGTGACACAAAAGGTAAGGATAGCATTAGACTAATGACAGTTGCAAGAGAGGAATCAGTCGGGAGCTATTAACAGTTTAATTGATACGCTTTTATGAAGACGTGGGTATTTAATGATTTTTTGAAGGAGTGGAGACTGGGTGAACATCTAACGAAGGAGGGAAGCGAGTTCCACAGGAACATTTACTCGCAAGTTAAACAGAGTATTAAACAACTCCTGAGTGTGTTCTAACTGGTGAAACCCTGCTACAGATTTTTTGTTTTCTAAAGAAAGACGAAAAGCGTTCACTAGAAGCATTATACACTAAGCATTCTCATTTATGTTGAACTTTTCTGCCCAGTCATTTAGTTTACCCATATAACATATCTTATGCAGCTTTATGTTTCTAAAAGTACTTTCTGTTGAACTTGAATTTGTCAATAGGGGTTATTTCTAAGGCCAAATCTAATGTCTCTTGGTAATTCTACATCAATATACACAGATAGTTCAAAGCTAGTCTCATAACAACTGGCCTACATTGTGTGTGGATGGAAAGTACTTTGTATTTTGTCAGATTATATAAAAACCTGCACTAAATAACCCCTTTAAACGAAGACTCTGGAAATAGTAACCATGTGAGATGTTTTCAGTTTGGCTACCGTGGCCTTATATTTCAAGTTTACTTTTAATTCTCACTTTAGTAAATAACTCTGCAAGTGTTTAAATCTTTTCTTGTCTCAAAACCCTTACCTCAGTAGTCCCCTTTCTTACCACATCATTCCTCCGCCCATCCAATGGTCTCAGTCCTCAACTACAATGTTCCAGTTCAAAACCATTTTAAATAAACAAAAATAATAATTACATCCTATTAGCCAACCTCCCGTTGTTGTTCATGAACTTATGCCTGGTGAAGTAATGGAGGGAGTGATAGATGCAATCTTTGCCACATCAAATTTTTGTATGTCGTCTTCCTCACTTTCTGTAGCCTCTTCAAAATAGTGGCTGCAGGGATAACATTGCATACACCTTAAATATGATGGCACATGTAATGTAAGGGAAAGTAACAAAGAGCTCTGGGTGCTTAAGTGCTCACATATTTACTCTCTCTCACCAACCACAGAGAAACTATGGTTCCATGCAACACAGAACATTAGTACATTGAGAGTAGTCCACTCGGAGATCCTTACAAACACACCCACACAAAATAAACTAATTACAGGCTCTTTCTGTGTGACTGAAAGAGAGACACTTTTTGCTACAGATCTTTAAAGGATGAATGTTTAGACAAGTCACCTAGTTGTCTACATGAGCTAATGTGAAAGAATATTTTTGCCTATTTAGTGCTAGATTTTCCCTTTAAAATCACCAATTTCAACAGGTGACATGTGGATAAAAACCCCTAATACTTTCCATTCCAGATATAATGCTCCACTGACTCCAATACAACAATACTATGCTATCCATAGCTGTGCAATGGTGTCAAATCCCAGACATAATTGTTAAAACTTGGATCTATGGATTTTACGTTATTATTAAAATCTAATTATTAAGATAAGACATTACTGTTTTATTTGTAACATCAGTGAAGTAGCACTTAATCAAGATTATAAGATGCAACTTCAATATTCTGAAAAGTTTCAACACATTTTAAATGTTAATGTTTCTGATTTTATCGCTCTTATTGCCTGCTGTAATACACTTTCCCTCCACTGAGTGGATCCTCTGGCCTTTCCTTTCAAAACATGTACTCTGAAAGAGTAAAGCATGTTTGTTCCAAACACAGTTAACACTTTCGGTGTTATTCACTAAATAGAAATGTAAAATTCAAAATAGCTGGATTAGAGAATTTTTCAGTTTGGCTACTATCCCGTTAAGCTTCCCCTCTGCCTATCATACAAATGATAAAGAAAGAGGCCACATGGGTTAATGTGATAGAATATTTGTGCCTGTTTAGTGCTAGGTTTTCTCTTTAAAATCACCAATTTCAAAAGATGACATGAGGATAAAACCACCCCTACCGGTCACTATCTATTCCAGATAGGATGCACTTTTATGCTCCACTGGCTCCAATACAACAAAAGTACTTCTCCTGCATTGCTAAAATGACATAACTTATATCAACATTATTCATGAAGTATTTTTTAACCTCATCATGACAAGTGGGTAAGGAAATCCATTTATATAGTAATATTCCTTGCAATTTATCTGACATGGGGGAGTTAAGGACTAAGTTATATCGGTGTAATTAACAGCTTTTGCAATTTAGATTGAAGCAGATGGAAGTGTGGCATTTCTGGAGAGGGTTCTGCCTTTTGCCGATAAATATGGTAAGATTTGCTTCAACAGACAAAGAAATGCTGAGGATTACAAAAATAAAAAAAGGGGGGAATGTAATATAAACGGCATAAAGGCAACACCATCTGTACAGTAAGCGAACATTTCTGTTTTTGCAATAAAAAATTATTCCCAAGGGATCTTATCTGTTATTGTAATGCACCCACATCTATGTTATATATTTACATCATGGTCTAAATTGAAGGAGAAATGCAAAATAAGGTTCACTAACATGCAGTTATACCATTTCAGCGATCCAAATGTGTTTTCTAAATATGGCTTAGTGCTTTAGGATTTTTGCAATCACAGCTTAAAGGAGATCTGTCATGCCCCAAACAACTTATGCTCATCAAGTTGTGCATGCAATTTTAAATGTACATCATGCTATAATAGCAGTTTTGCTAGCAATTGCATAGTTTAGGTGTAACTATATAAATAGGTTTTTCTCCTAGCTGTCAGTCAATGTCTTAGCGTGCCAAGGTATCCTAGTTGTCAATCAATGTCTTAGCGTGCCAAGGTATCCTAGCTGTCAGTCAATGTCTTAGCGTGCCAAGGTATCCTAGCTGTCAGTCAATGTCTTAGCGTGCCAAGGTATCCTAGTTGTCAATAAATGTCTTAGCGTGCCAAGGTATCCTAGCTGTCAGTCAATGTCTTAGCGTGCCAAGGTATCCTGGCTGTCAGTCAATGTCTTAGCGTGCCAAGGTATCCTAGCTGTCAATCAATGTCTTAGCGTGCCAAGGTATCCTAGCTGTCAGTCAATGTCTTAGCGTGCCAAGGTATCCTAGCTGTCAGTCAATGTCTTAGCGTGCAATGGTATTGACTGACAAGGGAGAGCATAAAAGGGAGGTCCCTCTACTCTCCTCCCACGCTGGCGTCCGACATCACTGACCAGATTGGCCTTGCTTGGGGATGCATCCCAAGCAGGACAAATCAAAGAAGAACAGAGTTGGAGGAGGAGTTGAGGACAATGCAGAGGTGAATGTTAAACGAAGTGTAACACCCTTTAAGCATGAAGATGCTGGCGCTGGAACAAAGGAAAAGCAAGTAAATCTTTATATTTCACATTAAATACACCATGTATCTTTGTGATATATGGTATCCTTAATGTATATGGGAGTGATTTAAGGTAAGCTAAATTATTCATAAGAGGTACACTTTAACATATATCTGTCCTTTAAGCAGTGTGTCTCCTAACATTATACTAGTATAATTACAAAATAATGTTTTAAAGATTTAAATTTTTTTTTTTTATGTGTTGTTGCATTTTGTTACGTTTGCACATGGAATTGAAAGATGCTGTCACAAAGGGGCAAGCCAGCTGGTTTAAAAACAGAGCATGTGGAGACATCCAGTTAGAGCATATCTAAGTTAGCTTATCAATACATGCGTTACAATCATAACTCAGATCATGTCACATTCGGTTTCCTTTTCTTTTGCTTGCTGCATTTCTTACTCCTAAAACACTGATTTCAAATGGTGCTAGATACAGCGATGGAAACATCTAAGTCACCACATGAAACCAGCTTCCGGGAGTAGAGTATCATATCAGCTAGCACAAGGATCTGATGTATCTGTCGAATCTGTAGACAAGCCAAGAAAAAGACATATTAAACAGCATTCATTAGTAAATAATCAACTCTCCGTCACTATCTCCTTATAACCTGACTCTTTACGGAAATTACTGGCATGCAATAATGATTGCTTACAGAACACAGATTGCAGTACAATACGGAAGAATGAGTGAAAATTAGAGAGACGTACAAGAAAGTGCCCAAATAATGCCCTTCCTAAATCACATATAGAGATATGTTTTCCAATCACGTTCTCTGCTGCTGATGTGTAATAAACCCATTTTCTTTTTATTTTACCTCTGTGCAAGGAGTTGGTCTCTGTGTGCTCAAAGTGATTCCACCAGCCCACGCCCACATATGTCTCATACCACGGGTGCAGTAACGTGACCTGAATAGCTGATGCAATTACTAGGGCGTCACTACATTACCATGCAATTCAACCTATTGGTCAAATCCGGGTACAAGCAATGGGCATACTGAAACTCTTTCTCTTTACATATTAGCCAATCAGAGTATTCTGAAATCGCAATTACTTAAATAGATCTGCAGGTAAAACCAGCTTGCTCTCAAGCCTGTGAGTTTTGCTGCTCTTAAACCTGTGAGCTCTCAGTTATGGATAGTAATAGCACATTTTGCTGTCCATAGCTATGTAATGGTGTCAAATCCCAGACATAATTGTTAACACTTGGATAAATGGATTGTATGTTATCATTAAAATCAAATTGTTAAAATAAGAAATGACTGTTTTATTTGTAACATCAATGAAGTAATACTTAATCATGATTATAAGACGCAACTTCAATATTCTGAAAAGTTTCAACACATTTTAAATGTTAATGTTTCTGAATTTATAGATCTTATTGACTGCTGTAATACACTTTTCCTCCACTAAGTGGTGCCTTTGGCCTTTCCTTTCGAAGCGTCTAAAAGAGTAAAGCATGTTTGTTCCTAACAAAGTTAACACTTTCGGTGTTATTTACTAAATGGAAATGTAGAATTCAAATTTTTTTCCAGTTTAGCTACTATCCAGGTTAGCTTCCCCTCTGCCTATCAAATTAATGATAAAGGAAGAGGGCCATTTGTCAGGCCTCCACTGGTTAATAGAAGTGATGAGCATCTCTTGTTACATGCTGTTGTCTCACAGACCCCCATCATTTACCACAGATAAGACTAGTGTATTATGCTGCTTACTGATGAGGCACTGAAAGGGTTAATTTATGCAAAAATACGTTTTTTTTCATGCCCATGAAACCACGGTATGTACGCCAATGCATGCAGATACACATACACTTAAAGGACCACTACAGACACCCAGATCACATCAGCTCAATGAAGTGGTCTGGGTGCCAGGTCCCTCTAGTTTTAACCCTGCAGCTGAAAACATAGCAGTTTCAGGGAAACTGCTATGTTTCACTGAGGGTTAATCCAGCCTCTAGTGACTGTCTCATTGACAGCCGCTAGAGGAGCTTCCGCGATTGTTACTGTGAAAATCACAGTGAGAAGACGCTAAACGTCCATAGTAATGCTTTCCAATGGGCGGTTTGAATGCACGCGCGGCTCTTGGCGCACATGCGCATTCGGAGTTGAGAGGCGGATCGGGGCGGAGGGATCCCCAGCGCCAAGGGAGTCCGGTGCTGGAGAAAGGTAAGTGCTGAAGACACACACACACACTCTCACAAACAGACGCATATACACTAGCTAACAGACACACACACTCACTGACAGACACAGTAACACACTCACTGACACACACAAACTAACACACACACGGACACAAACTAACACACACACACTCTAACACTAACACACACGCTCTAACACACACACACTAACACACACTCTAACACAAACTCTAACACTAACACACACACATGTTTTAAAAAAATTTTAATCCCCCAGCCTCCCTACCTTTGGGAGTGCTGAGGGGATTCCCTGGGGTCCAATGGTGTTGCTGGGTGGCCGGTCACCGGGCAGGCTGACAGGCGCGCGAGGGAGCACTCTCCCCTGAGTGCCCCCTGTTCAGCTCCCTTGCGTGCCGCGTACTGATGCCGGAGCTGGAATATGACGCCATATTCCGGCTCCGGCATCAGTGCGGTGTGCGAGGGAGCTGGGTAGAGAGCGCTCAGGGGAGAGTGCTCCCTCGCGCGCGCCCCAGACTGCCCACCCGGTGACACCAGGGCCAGCCTCGGGGGGCCCTGAAGTGGCCAGCTCCTGGGCCCCCTAGGAGAAGAGGCTGGCCACACTGGCGTACATACCGGGTCACAGGGCGGCCGGGCCCTCTGGTGGGCCGGGCCTGGTCGCAGCTGCGACCCCTGCAACCCCGGTATGTACACCACTGATTGAAAAGCATCGAGGACTTTAGACGAGGATAATTTTTCCAACTCTCCTGTTTTGGACTTCACATGCATGTCATGGTAGTACTAACAGCTAGCTGGTAAATAGTTTATAAAAATGACAAGCACATTAGTATAATAGGGGGTTTACTACCATACTCATGTCCAGCTTCCAAGTCACGAGTGGGGGCATGCCTAGTAAACACTAGTAGAGTACATTAATAAATACAAGGAGGACCTGGCCCCGATCCCCTTTTTGCCCCCACCTATAGGCATTGGGTTGGGCTTAAAATTGACATGTCACTGTCCATCCCTCTGCCCCCACCCATTGTCAGTGTGTGAGAGGTATTCCTACCCCCGTAACCTCTGTCTATGAGCAGGTGGGGCTATTACATAGTGTCTCCACCAACTCCCACCTATGCCAATAAATGTACTTCCAATGCACATTTATCTGAGGTTTTATTTCAAGCAGCCGACCCGCTTAGCGGGTTCAGCTGTCTGAATTCCAGATAAAATTTGATTTAAAAAAACTGCAGAAAGAAATTGATAATTAGAAATTGTGGTTGACTGACAGAATTAAAATTAAGGCCCTAGTTAAGTCAAGTGCTATGGGTGCAACTGTTTAAATCGAAATATGTTGCCTTTATAGGTATCTTTAATTAGCTCTTTTACGTTACATCTGAGGGTAGTAGCTTGTCATTACAGTTTAATGGGTCTGTTTATATATAACTATTTTTTATTTTTTTATTACTGATGTCTGGCAATCTAATAATTTTTTTAAATCTCTAATAATTAAATTATAACCCTGTCAGTTATTCACTAGTGGGAATTGTTGATAAATCAAAGTCACAACAAAGTGAATTTCAAAATTCAGGACAAAATACCAGAATTGGAAAAAATAATATCCAAAACAGCTATACATTTAATTTTGGCTATTTTGTCAAAAAATTTGGAATTTACTTTGAGGACACAAAATTTCCCATTTTCGTAAAGTAGAGAAACCTTTACCTTATGGAATGATGCATTTGGGATAACTGGCCAGATTGGATTATTTTGCCATCTCATGCTCGTATTAAATATTATTTAGTATTATATTGATGTTTCATACTCTTATCAGAGATTGGTTTGAAAGGAACAGAGTTGGAGTATTTCAATTTCCCCATACAATTTTGTGCGTGGAAAAAGCAATGTGGTGTTCCGACATCGATAAAATCTAAGTTCTCATTTATATGATCAATATGAAACATCTGAATCACATTCACTAAATGTAATTGTTTAAAGTAGCTTGCCTTCCCACTTTTGTGAACTACATTGCCCATGATGCTTAGCCGAGCTAAAAAATGAAAAATGTTTATAATAGTCCTTGATTCTTTTAGTATTTCTGGAGCAACAGGCTAAATCTGCAGCAACAACTGCACAACTAAATCTTACAGAGGTCTTACAGGATCCTCAACAGAGCGACAGAGAGACGAGAGCGGTAAGTGCAAATGCCTTCCCCTGCGACCACCAGACCATCACAGGAGTTGTAACTTTCGACCCGCTTTAAGGTGATGCTAACATTTCCACTTATTTAGAAATATGTTTATATTGTAAATATTTATATAGATATCAAATAGTATAAATATGTGATTTTCGATTGGAGACTAGAATCACTTCACTTGTACTACTTTATATGTTAAAGGATTTGTGACATTGAGCACTGTTATATGGGCTCCTATATCGGTTCTCAAACCAGCCTTGGGTAATACAGTTATGCCTGCTTAATTCAAAGAACTGATTGAAGAGTTTGTGATCATGTTCATGCTAATCAGTGTAGCAGGGAAATCCCTGCTTAATACACACAATGCATGCAATCAGGTGTAACAGGGTGGATGGGCACAGCTTATATGGCATTTTTCTGGCACACAAATGTTAATGAATATTCCAACTCTCTTTCTTTTGACCCTAGCATTTTATACAGTGAGACCATACGGAGATGGCAATTTAATCCAATTGTATCCATTTCCCCAAGAATTCCTTCTGCACAAGTTAAGTAGTTGGAAGCAGTTTCTCTTTCATCATGATGGGCGCATAATGTTGCCAATTAAATATAGTCAAGAGGCTTCCAAGAACTGGGTAGAGTTGGAGCCAAATGGTAGTAAACAACATGGGCTATGGGACTGTGTGCAAAGAGATATGACAATTTCTGGGTATGTAAATGGAGCAGATTGTCAGTAACACCGCACATGAGTTATATCTGTTTTTCCCACTCTGTCAGCAGCAGAACAGCTGACTACATGTATGGAAAAAGTATTGCGGGTATGCATTCAAGAAAAAATATAACACTAGTCAAGTTGTAGCACAGCACAATACAGAGTAATTTACCAAACAAGCACTCACAGACATACACTGGATTTCATCATATCATCATAAGAAGGAGGCCATGAATGTGGCCACAGATTTTTTCCAAATCCTGGATGGAATGTAACTATAGGTGGATAAAACACAAAAAGAAAGGGACAACTCATAGGGTAGCCCAGTGGAGAGCTGGAAAGGAGGGACAGGGCCCTCACTACTAGAATATCTTGGGTTTAGCAGGACCGTCTTGAATTTGGGGTCCTTTCCTTAATGTCCCGAGTTTATTCCTTGGTGACCTGCTTCTGGGGGTACCAGGCAGCTACCTCCAATAAGCATAGCTTGGAAGCATCATTATACATGCTTACACTACGCTAAGTGTATTCATGGCTATCAGTCCATGTTCAGAATGAATTACAAGTTGGACCTACCAGGGAGTCTGTCAGTCAGCCTGGTGTGCATTCATGCTATTCTGACATGCCGTGTTTTTCAAACACACCTGCATCCTTTTTGAATCTTCTGATTAAAAGTCATTGGAGATGTGTTTCAATTACTTCTGGCAAATTACTGCAGCAGAGAGGTAGCCTTTTTTTTTTGCAGGGGTTTTGCTAGCTCATCACCTTGTAAGTTTGTGCTTGGGCTGGTGGCCCACAATTTCAATATTCTCAATATTTTCAGGCCTGGACTGATCCACCGGGATATTTCTATGCAAATACTTGCATTTGTTTGCACTTGCAGCCCATGGAAATAAATGTCAAATATAGCAAAGAGTGGTTTTCCAACAACACTTCACATTCAGCTGACAAACAGCAGCAGAGTAATGCTTCATCCACCATTGATCAGCAGACAACATTATCTATCTATCATGGATCATTTTTTTCTGTATATATTTTGATTTATAAAACTACTCTGTGACATTGCAGATAACTCTTTAAATGGCATGCACGTGGCACTTTTTTTTTCTCATAAGCCAACCATTCAGAGCACACTGACTGAAATTGCAGAGCATTGGAAAGCCTATTAGGGCTGATGGCAGGCAAATAAGTAAGAAAAATATATATATTTATCAACAGCTTCTGGCTGTCAAATCCATTAATCCTATTTTATGGGTGCTATGCTTCCCATTTATGGAACTAATTGCTGAAGCCTATATTTGCAATGTACAATATAGGTTTTGGATTTTGGGTGGGGGGAGGATAATAGGTCCCTCCCTTATTGTAATTTAGGGCCCCCACCCGCCGCTCATGGGTGGGGGCCAGGTGGGAGGACAATAGGTCCCCCCCAATTGTAATTCAGGGCCCCCACCCACCACTCATGGATGGGGAATTTACTAATACTAAGTAATCTTTACTTGGTATTAGTAAATTTGGCTGAAAGACCAATTTAGGTCTTTCAGCATTTTGGTAGATAGCTCCTTGATACCATGGGATTTAGGGAGTTATCTACTAAGCAGCTGAAAGATGCAGCCACAGTACGAATCGGAATTTCATTAATTCGAATGAAATTCCGATCTAAACAAAGTCCCAAATTGAGTCCTAACACGAATGGAGAAACTGTTCTAATTTTGTAAGGACGAAATTTGTTAGTTTCGCCCACGTTCGGGAATACTGACAGGAAGCATCGCAAGATCACAGAGGAAAGGTGAGAATTGTGGGAAAATGTCTCTGACCACAAGAAACGGAGCACACTTTGCTCCTCCGCTGGTCAGAGATGGTCAGGCGTCTAAAAACCTCCATAAGACAAATAGTCCATACTTTGTCTTATGTTTTAAAGAAAACTAGAGCAGACAGGAAGAAATTAAGAACAGATGCTGACAGAGGGAGAGAAGAGGAAAGGTAAGTTCGGCATGACCGTGCCGCTTTAATGATCATCCCATTCCTACAAGTCAGGGAGTGAATGAGTTTTTTCATATGCCTTTTCATCATATCTTTATTTGAGAAATATATGATTTAACCGTACTTCTTTATATTTATCTATTATTATCACACCTGCTGGATGTGAGAAAAAAGAATCCCTTTCAGTCACTTACCTAATTAAGCTTCTCAAACATCAACATCAGCCAAGGAAGGCCTCTAATGGGTAGCGAATCAATGCTTTCCTATGGGGATTTAGAGGACGTTGGACATTATCATGCAAAGTGTCTAGAGGCGTTTCATGAAACTATAGGAAGCACCTCTGATGGCTAAAGGCAGTCTTAACACCAGTGGCGTCGCTAGGAGGGGGCCAGAGAGGGCCATGGCCCCCCGTACATCATGCAGGGCTCCCCAATTGAAGTCGGGAGCACTGTGTCTCCTTACACAAGCTGCAGCAGCACTGGCACTGTGGAACCTTTTCCCACAAGCGGCCAGAGGGGGCACTGTGCTGGGAGGAATTCCTCCTGGGTCACAGAGAGCAGCACAGGGGAGAGACAGGGAGAGGAAGCTCAGCTTTGCACAGAGGCATCCAGGCAGCTGCTGGTAAGTGTGAGTCAGTGTGTGTGGTCCTGTCTCTGTGTATGTGGGGGGACGGGACAGTGTGTGTATGGGGTCAGTCTGTGTGTGTGTGTGTATGGGACAGTCTGTGTGGAGGGTCAGTCTGTGTGTGTGTGTATGGGACAGTCTGTGTGGGGGGTCAGTCTGTGTGTGTGTGTGTGTGTATGGGTCAGTCTGTGTGGGGGGTCAATCTGTGTGTGTGTATGGGACAGTCTGTGTGGGGGGTCAGTCTGTGTGTGTGTGTGTATGGGACAGTCTGTGTGTGGAGGTGGGGGTTCAGTCTGTGTGGTGGGGGTCAGTTTGTATTTGTATGGGTCAGTCTGTGTGTGGGGGTCAGTCTGTGTGTGTGGGAGGGTCAGTCTGTGTGTGTGTATGGTTCAGTCTGTGTGTGTATGGGTCAGTCTGTGTGTGTATGTGTCAGTCTATCTTTAGGGGGCTCAGTCTGTGTGTGGGGGGGTCAGTCTGTGCGTGTGTATGGGTCAGTCTGTGTGGGGGGGCAGTCTCTGTGTGTGTGTGTGTGTGTGTATGGGTCAGCCTGTGTAAGTGCTGGAGCTCCAAGAGAAATATCTCTAATTTCGTGACTTCCCCTGTACCCGATGGATAGGCAGGCTTCTTAACCACCATAGATCTTATTGTGCCAACCCTTCCCTGCAAGGTAAGATCAGGGAAAGGGGAATATTCTTTTTTTTTTTTTAAACAATTATTAAAGTAAAAATTGTAAAGCTCTTCCCTATCCCACTCTCTACACCCTCCTGAGCACAGTACATCCTCACAGACAGTAACCCCCCACATACGGTACACTCCAACAACACAGAGTACACCTTTGCATACACACACAGTGCACTCCTCACACACATTATCTCTTCACCCACATACCTTCACCCCCACACACACATGCATACATATATATAAATAAAACTACAGCTCCTTGATAAGCACACAATGCAACCCCAATACACATACATCCACAATGCAGCCCCTAAATGCACACGCAAACACTTTACAGGCCCTCTCAGCATACACACAATCTGCACCTCCTGAAAAGGTTTACAGTTTTCGTGAAAAGGCGTCTTGCCTGTAATATGGAAGGCATAGCAGTAGAACTACAGGGAGTGCTGGTGCTGCGGTTACACCGGTTACACCCGATGGGCATGTGTCTTCAGGGGCCCAAAACAGTTTTTGCACCACAGCCCACTGTGCAGCAGCTTCTCCAGCAAACAAGCTCTGCCCCTGCATGGAAGATTGCCTCCCTGTACGCAAGCTCCGTCCCCAATCTCTGACTGAGACACACACACTGACAAACATATACACATTCTGACAGACATACAGTGACAGGCACACAATCTCTGACTGAGACACATACACACACACACACATTTTCTCACAAATTGCTATTTTTATTTAAATCCACCCAGCCTCCCTACCTTTGGGAGAGATGAGTGGATCTTTCCCTGGTGTCCAATGTGTCTCCTCTCAATCTTCCTGCAGTTTCTCTCTGCTCCCCTGCGCGCTCTCTGCAGTGATGCTGGGGCCGGAGTGACGTCATGTCACTAAACAGCACGTGAGGGAGCAGAGAGGAACTGCAGGAAGGTTACTGCTCCCTCCTGCGCCACCTCCATGGTGCCCGCTGCAGCCGGCTTTAATGTTTCATGCGCGGCTTAGCAAAGGGCTGACAAATGCCATGGCAACCTGGCACCTGGAATTTGTCGCACACACATATATATACTCATTTTATAACTGCCCCCCTACTTTTGTCCCTGGCCCCTTATGTATGAATCCTGGGGATGCCACTGCTTAATACTGCAATGTAATATTGTAGTTTCTCTAAAAACTGCCATGTTTTAAATTGCAGGGCTAAGGGGGACAGGGACACTGAACCCACACCACTTCCATGAGATGAAGTGTTCTGGGTGCCTATAGTGTCCCTTTAATTTTTCAAATGAAAAGGTCTTGTCAGTGAAGGAGTTAAACATATAAGAGTTTGTTTTTAAACTTTTCTTGCTTTTAAGAGACGTCATGCGAATGTTTTTTTCAGTGCAGATCATGCAAATGAGAGAATATGACACTATACTGTGCTAGAAAACGTATTGATCCATATCATTTTTTTACGTATTGTTTTTTGCTGCCAAGAGGGAGGCATACACCTACATGTATATTTAAATTGTGGCTGCTGCATACAGCTTCTGCAAGCTCCCTATAAATGTATATTGAACCTTCAACTGCAATATAGTATTATATATACATTCCGAAGCACTACGTATAGATAGTACTTTTTTCTGTTAATAGAATAATATGATGTTACGTGATTAGCATAACACCACAAAAATAAATAAATAAATAAATACAAAATATAAAAATAACATCATATCTACAAACTCACCCAAAACAGTCAGTGGTTAGCCACTATATTTCAGTTTCCTTTAGTCTCACATTTCTATCACCATTGTTTATTTTATCTGCACTCTTTATCAGTACACTATGTTTTAGAAAGTTTTAAGGGTTGCAGACAGTTGACTGGTAGAAGGTGAGCAGAGTGTTTTAATTAGACCCACGCAGAGATAATGCTAGGGATTAAGCTTTGTAAACCTGGACAATGCATAGCAGTGAGTTAATCTGTCACATACCAGAATGCATCGAAGCTCGCTCCCCCTTCCCAGCCATGACGCAGGTAGGCACTGGCAGGCGTGTATTTTGTGGCTTTGCCAAAGCAGGTGGTTTCATTGTACCTTACAAGCAGTTACATCTCCTCCTTTGTACATTATGTCTTGTTGTATTCTGTCTGTTTCATGCAGGTGTTGTATTTATTTAAATTCTAGAATTACCCTTTCATCAGTATATCAAGGGAAAAGTGGAACTGCCTTATAAGGTGAAACAATGCATTGCATGCTAATCTTGGTACAATCCTAATTAATCAAAGGACGTTTAACACTGGCTGTAAGAGCATTATGGGATATGTAGTACACAACATCTGGAGTTCCATAAGTGGCCTACCCTATTCTAGAGCCTGATAAGCCATGATTTTCCCCATGTCCTGCACCACAGGAGATCATGCCAGTTCTCGAAGGTTGAACAGTCTTCATTTGGGCTGGTGCTACACAGCGCACAGCATTATAGGAAGAACCTACAGTTAAGCTATGCTAACAGACTTGAAGGCTGACATATTTGTGAAATGTTAATTCTTAGCATTCTTCACCCATTTGAGAGGGTCTTTGGAGAGCAATAGGGATAAAAGCTTTGGAACACAAGATGTATACTGAAGAATGATGGAATAATTCCAAGGATGCTGTGAGATATAAATAAATAGACTTGCTAAATGGTCTGCTTTTACTTGTACATTCAATTGTCATTTGTATGTGATCAACAATTAATCCAGAACTGGCTTACCTGATATATTTTTCACAAACCTGAGGTTTGGGCAGTAAAGACCTTGTCATTTTTATTTGGCATCATTGGAAATGTGGCGTACCTGAGGTAGCAACATAGAAAAAAATATCAAGACATCAAAAATTAAAAGTTTGGACAAAAGCAAAGAGTGAAACAAATGGTTTATGACTGATTTTAATATAGAACATTTTCCCAAACATATTTTAACGTATGATCAGATTGCAGTGTACCTGTTACTGCAACCAACATGCACAAGACTGAAGCTTTAAGTTGATTGCACATTTTTTTTAATACACATTGAATCCAGAAAAATGTAGTCAAGGGCATGTATTGTCTAGCCTTCTAAGAGAGGTCTTATTAGAGACAAATATTGTGAATGCATTCACGAATGCTGGAGTTACATTTGACAATGATATAAAAATATGTCCTAAAAATGTAATATTGACAAGAGCATACAAAATAAGCCAATTATGTAGTGTGGTCTTGAAGAAACATTTATGGATTACGTCATGCAATTGTCAGCGTACTTAGAACCACTATTTTTTGGAGTAGTAGCTTCTAATAATTTTAGGTAATCGTGGCTTCTTTTGACCCAAAAAACAAGCACCGAAGCAGTTTTGGACTTTTATAAGCTACTAGTTAGAAGTTTCGTCCATAACACCCATTAGTCTTTCCACCACTTTTCAAAAAAGAGCCTAATACTTTCTCCACTGCGCTCTACCCTCTCTTTTTTTTTCCCATTGCTCTCTACTTATCCCATCTTTCCCATTATTCTTAATACCTTACATTTCCATTGATCTTTTCCCCCATCTCTCTCCACTGGTCTTTTATACTCTTCTCTATCACCACATTTTCTACTGCCCTGCTCAATTGCTCACTATTCCCTCATCCAACCATCAGTGTTTCAAACTCCTATAAACAATGCCATTTTCAGTTTCCTTCCCAAGTTAAGGAAGCCTCCTTCATTGCCTCTATCAATAGCAGAGCTATCTCTTAGATAAATCAGTTTGATGGAATATGATGTTGCATAGCATACCTGTCACTTTGAATCATTGCACTGGGTGGGAGTTACTGTGAAGAGTGAAAACAACATCCCTGCCACCTAAAAAGGCAAGTACATCTCTCTCCCTTGAAGGGGTTTTTGGTTTAGATCTTGTTTATCTTTAATAGAAGACTATAAAGCAAACAATACAAGCATGTATTCCTGACACTATAATAAAAAAAAAAAAATTACTTTAGGTGGTTGCCCCCTCCGTTGACCCTGATAAAAAAGTATAAAACATACCTTTTTTTTCCAGCGCCGAGTGTCTTGCTGCAGCTGGCTCTGCCTCCTTGGCTGAGATATTGACAATTTCAGCCAATCCAATGCTTTCCCATGGGAAAGCATTGGGAGGCTATCGCGCATGCACGGCAAAACGCCACACTACGCCAATCAGCATCTCCACATATAATTGCATTGAATCAATGCACCTCTATGGGTAACGTTCAGGGTCTCCATGCAGCGTGTGGAGACGCTGAAAGTCAGTGCTGCATACTGTGCTGCACTGACCCAAGAAGCACCTCATTTGAGCGACTGTCCCTACAGGTATTCCTGGCAGTAATATAAACACTGTTTTTTCTGTGAAAATGCTGAGTTAACATTAAAAAGCCTTCTGGGACATACCATACACACCAGAACAACTACATTAAAGGACCACTATAGGCATCCAGACCACTTCAGCTTAATGAAGTGGTCTGGGTGCCAGGTCCACCTAGGATTAACCCTTTCTGCTGTAAACATAGCAGTTTCAGAGAAACTGCTATGTTTACTTTAGGATTAATCCAGCCTCTAGTGGCTATCTCATTGACAGCCGCTAGAGGCGCTTCCGCGCTTCTCACTGTGATTTTCACAGTGAGAAGACGCCAACGTCCATAGGAAAGCACTGAGAATGCTTTCCTATGAGACTGGCTGAATGTGCGCACTGCTCTTGCCGCGCATGCGCATTCAGCCGATGACGGGAAAGGAGGAGGAGAGTCTCCAGCACCGAGGGAGCTGGAGAAAGGTAAGTGTTTAACCTTTCTCTCCATCCAGCCCGGCGGAAGTGTGGGGGCACCCTCAGGGCACTATAGTGCCAGGAAAACGAGTATGTTTTCCTGGCACTATAGTGGTCCTTTAAGCTGTAGTTGATCTGGTGACTATAGTGTTCCTTTAACTTGCCCATGGTGTGCTACAATGTCATAACTGCTGCACTACAGACAATGTCAGGATGGTGATACCTAACTTTTGGCAGCTGTTGTGGCTAATGCTTTCCATGACACACACAGGGTTTCGAAGTGAGTTTTAAATTTAAGGTCAAAATAGCCAAAACTGAGAAATTCTCTAAGTGTGTTATCCTTTCACTTAGCTACTCTTGTCTAAAATTTGAGATACACTTTGAATTCTAACTTTAGTTAATAACGCTGACAGTTGTTGCTATTTTAACAGATGCATAGGTGCTAATCAGAGTGTTGATACGTGGAACTTGCACTGCTGGATGTCTCAAAGATTTCTTCTGTAAACCTGTACTCTAGTGCAAGGATGTCAAGCGAAAACCATTAGAATCCACAAATGCACATTTTTAGAATAGATGTCTTCACTGCTGCACATTTTTATGGATATTCTAAAAATATTACCCGCTGGCACAGTAACGTATGCTATTCTGACTGACACTGGGTGCATATCTCAAGTTGGAAAATCGTATTCCCAATGATATCAACCATTAATCTTAATTTTTCGTTCGACTAAAATTCCATCAATGACATATGCAAGGCAAAAGAAAATGTTATTAGCATATTATACATACATTTTACCTGTTAATATTATGACAGTCAGCATTTCGTAAAATAATAGTATTCCTATTTGCAAGTCGCAGCATATTTCATAATTTTGCGCAAAGGAAATGTCTTTCATTTATAAGATTCTTGCAGCTACTGGAAGTGATGAACCAAGCATTTATACAGCTGGAAAATAAAAATACAGGTAAAAATTAGTTTGCGTGTGATAAGGTGTTTCGGAGAGAGACATTTTTCAATGCTAACATTCTATATTTGTCACATGTGTGTTTCCATTCAACCACTGTGTTGCCAAAGTGCTATTGCAATGTGTAGGAAGTGTGTCCTGAAGCCAAAGGGTCTAGCAAATCCCTGATTCCAGCTGAGTCAAGGTCAAAGCAGACTGAGTAAACTCGTGGAGAGCTGTGACGCAGCAGAAATACAAGCCTCATGGAAAACATTACACAAGGCAGACCCTGTTATCTGACAGATCCAGCACAGCTGCTGTGGACATCAAGACTCAGGTCTCTCAACAAAACAGCACAGATTTGCTGTATCTAGTAATATGTATCATCGGAAAAATTGATACAGATACAGAGCTCTGTCTAAAAACCAATAAACAAATTTGACTCATGCATGTTCAGGATTCTAATCCCTTTGGCTTTTTTTAAGACCCGAAATGTTGTTTTAGATCCTTGGTGATTTTTTTCAAAATCCAATATACTTTTTACCATGTAGGAGTGCAGGATATGTGAAACAAAATAATTTATGTTGGTCAAAACTACCTCTGTACTTTTTAAAATGCATTTACCCAGCAATTTACCATTTGTTCCGGTATGGCATTCCCCCTTGCGCTCACGGTACAGTCCTCCTAATGAATTGGGTCATTATGTTATTAATTTGGATGTAGGAGACTGGTTCCACCTCTTAATATGGGATCCAAACCCTCCTGCATCTCTAGCGACACAAAGATGCTTGCATTGCTAACCTATCACAAGCCTCCTAGGGCTATATATCCCACACTGAGTACTGTGCCCTGTTGTTGAATTCCCTTAGTGGTAATCCGAGAGTGCATTATTTCTGGTTACTGTTTTTTTTTTTTGATCTAGGCTTGTACCTTGACCATTTTCCATTCTGTTGTCCCTGACCTTTGGCTTGACTTCTCAATTACATTACTCTCTGTCTCCTTTGCTCTGGCTTTTTCATAACTATTCTGGTTTGCAATAAGCTGGGCCACTCTAATGGCCGGTAAACTGCTTCTATCTCCTTAGTGATGATAATCTTTCCTTTGTCATTTCTAAACTAAGTAATGCATGTGGGTTCCTAGAAAATCATGCCAGCCTTCCTAAACACTTCCTATAAAGAGAGATCTAATGTTTGAACTTCATTTAAATACATTTAAAGCACATTCTGTTTAATTTAGAATTTATCTTTGACTCTCTTAATAGCTTGCTAGACCTTGCAGAATCCTCCTGCAAGAGTTAAAGGATAGGATTAGGAACACAAACATGTATTCCTGACCCTATAGGGGTAAAACCACAATTTAGCCCCCCTGGCCTTCTCTTGCTTCAGTAAATATAGTAAAATTGTACCTATATTCAAGTCTGCAGCTCCTGGCTCTGCCCCTCTTTGCCTGTGAACAGCCTCTGTCTGCTGACATTATCAGAAGTGGTGGTCTGAGCCAATTACAGTGCTCCCCATACGATTGGCTGAGACTGTCAAGGAGACAGATCAGGGGCAGAGCCAGCACAAGTCAAACACAGCCCTGGCCAATCAACATCTCATATGAGGATAGTTCAGTGACTGCATGCAGAGGATGGAGACACTGAATGGCAGTGTTGCTTACTCAGCAGCACTGCCCAAGGAAGCAGCTTTTGCAGCCATCTGAGGAGTGGCCAGTGGAGTTATTACTAGGCTGTAATGTAAACACTACATTTTCTCTGAAAAGACAGTGTTTTCAGCAAAAAGCCTGAAGGGAATGATTCTACTCACCAAAACAAATACAATAAGCTTTAGTTGTTCTGGTGACTATAGTGTTCCTTTAAGTTTAATTTACAAAGCAGGAGATTAAAACTTCTAACTAAGTTAACATCTGATTGAAAATAATTTTTTTTCATGCAGACTGTTCGAGTCACAGCCAGCAGAGGTGTGTCCAGGTCTGTATCTTCCGCGAGGGCGGCACTTTCCAGGGGGCGGCAAAAAAACGCTGCCCCAACATGCCCAGGCAAATACCTTGTTAGCATTGTTTTAAGGGGGCCCAAGAAGCTTGTTGGCTGGCCAGCTTTGGGCCCCCCCGAGGCAGGTGGCCAGTTCTGTCCCGGGCAGGCGCGCAAAACAAGCACTGAGGGTGCTGAGCTCTTCCTGCTCAGCTCCCTTGCGCGCCCTAGAATATGACATCACTCCGGCTCCCGGCATTACTCTGCGACGCACGAGGGAGCTGAGCAGGAAAAGCTCAGCACCCTCGCTGCCTGCTTTGCGCGCCCGCCTTGGACAGAACTGTCCGCCTGCCTGCACGCCCACCCACATGCCTGCCTGTCTACCCAACAGCCCGGCCTCAGCTAGCCCAGGAGCCCCACTGGACCACAGGTGAAAAATATCCACCCAGCTCTCCCAAAGGTAGGGTGGCTGGGTAGATTTAAATTAAAATAAATTAAAAAATAACTTTTATCTGAGTGTTGGGTGGAAATGAGTGTGTATGTCTGTCAGTGTGTATGTGTGTGTCTGTCTGTCAATGTGTATGTGTGTCTGTAAGTGTGTGTGTGTGTGTATGTCTGTGAGTGAATGTGTGTGTGTCTGTCAGTCTGTGACAGTGTGTCTGTGATTGAGTGTGTGTGTGTATAGCCATCAGTGTGTCTCTGGGTGAGTGAGTGTGTGCGTATCTGTCAGACTGAAAGTCTGTGTGTCTGTGAGTCAGTGTGTTTCTCTGAATGAGTGTGTGTATGTCTGTCAGTGTGTGTCTGTGAGTGAGCGTGTGTCTGTAAGTGAAAGTGTGTGTGTCGGAGTGATTGTGCATGTCTGTCAGTGAATGTGTGTATGTCTGTTAATGTGTGTCTGTGACTGAGTGTCTGTCACTGAATGTGGGTGGGTGTGTGTCTGAGTGAGTATGTGTCTATGTCAGTGTATCTGTCAGCGAGTGTGTGTGTCTGTCAGTCAGTTAGTCAAGTGTATGTTAGTCTTTAACAGGAAGAGGTGTGGTATTGACAGGAAGGGGCAGAGCAAATGTAAATTAGGGGTTGCCCGAGTTCCGTCATGCCTAGGGCAGCACAGATTCAAAATACACTACTGGGTGTGTCTAGTGCTGCATGGACAGAAACAAAAGTGATGTAACTCCTAAAGGGTTGAGCAATGAGACTTCAGAGGAATGATTTATACACAAAAACTGCTTCACTAAGCTAAAGTTTTGGTGAATATAGTGTCCCTTTAATTTGGTATTCAGTTGAAATTTGTGATTATTCACACATGTAAATATTTTCATCTGTTTTCCTTTAATGCACATCTACTGGTTATTTTGGAAACTCTCCTTGTGTAAAACATATTGTGAAGAAATTTTCAAAATATAATTCATGCCTCCAAAGTGTGCTTCTTCTTCATCCTAATGTCCCCCAGGAGATCCATATTGTTTCTGTGTAACAGAGCTCCACGGCAATGCATACATGCTTGTATTCATTAGGGATATATCTATTAAATAGTAAATATTATGTTTCCCCATGTTTTTGACTGTAGAGTGGCCCTGTAAAGTGTCCCTCTTTGTTTGAAATATTGGAAGGTATGCAAATTAGTGTATGAGGTTGGGTGACTATGGTCCTACAGGTTGCTGCTTGACTCAACACCCATCAACATCATCCATGATACACTGAAAGTGATATCATTAGTTCCCCAGGTCCGTTTTCATGTAAGCAGCTTATCTAACCACTTATTGTTTTATGATCATAAATGCAGCCAGCACAGAAAAAAGTGAACAAGGCAAATGTGTTTATCTTGTTTCTGCTATTTGTACCTCCAGGCAAAGAAGAAAATGTAATGTCTTCTGATATGCAGAGCCCCTTCAGCAAGGAAGCAAATGCACCAGCTTCAAATATCAACTCAGTATAATCTAGTCATTATAGGAAACTGACAGCAATGTGAGGCTAGCTAGAACCCTTCACTGCCAGAAAGGATTGCTGTTGGTAAAATGTACAACAAAATACCAAAAACAATGTTAACACACATGTTAAGACATGAATATTCAGGTTTCAGATTCAGCTGAACAATGCTTGAAGTCTGCATTTGACTAGATCTGGTTACATAGTTACATAGCTGAGACTTGTGTCCATCAAGTTCAGCCTTCCTCACATATGTCGTTGCTGTTGATCCAAAAGAAGGCAAAAAACCCAGTCTGAAGCGCTTCCAATTTTGCCACAAACTAGGAAAACAATTCCTTCTTGACCCCAAAACAGCAGTCAGATGTCTCTTTGGCTCAAGCAGCTATTACCCCACTAATTAGAAATGATATCCCTGTATGTTATGTTTTTGTTAACATCATACTGCTGGTCGCTGCTTAACAAAAAGGAAGCCAGTGGGGGCTGTGAGTGGCCAACCATCAAAATCAAGGCTTTTCGGTTGCTGGGGCCATTATGGCAGCTGGTGTCAACCGTACAACCCCCCAAAAAACTACTTTGCCATAGCATGGTAAAATATTATTTTTCATAAATCTTTTTGTACAAATCATCCTACTGCGGGAATAATTTAGAACGCAGAATATGTGTGTTGGTAGAGAGAGAGAGAACATTAACCGTAGGTCCCACAATATAATTCATGCTGGGAAACTCCCCAGATTCTGCACATTTATTTTTAATTCACCTTCCTCCTTTCTGTAGGTGGTTCTTATGTAAATTTGGAGTGATATATTTAGAAAACAAACTGGGTTTCGTGGATGGCTACGTGGCTAAAGTTTATTTATTTATTTATTTATTTGTTTATTTTTAATTTATTTATATATATGGAAGGAAATTTATATATGAATAAGTATATGCACGTGTAGACAATTACATTGTATGCTACTACGTCTGTTAGCATGGGGACAAACAGAAAAGAAGTAAGCAAGAATCACTAAGAGTTAAAGGCAGTTATGTTAATCTAGGTGTCGAGAGTACTGAATGGTACAGCAAGGTCTGATGACAAAGATACCTACAAAACAGTAATGATAAAATAGTTAGCTCCCGTATTTCCCCCATAAATACTATTACAATAACATAACCAACTTTGACAAAATTAAATAAAGCAACACATACAGAGTTAGTCATTAGAGTGAGATTTCACAAAAGTGGATTTCAATGTTTTAGGACAGTCGCTGAAGTGGAAGCATAGCTAAATTACAGACTCTTTAATTCTGCTATTATGGTTTCAAATTGAAATTCACTTTGAGTTTACTTTGAATTCTTCCTTTAGTAAGAATCTGTTTAAGGAAATGAAGTTTGCGCCCATTTTTTTCCCCTTTCTTTTCTCTTCCCTTTTTCCTTTTTTTTTTCTTTTCACATCAGAAATTGGTATTAATTATTACGTATTTGCCTTTAAACTTTGATATCAGCATAATTCAATACCAAATCAACATTTGTTGTTCAAACCTTTTCTTTTTTTCCCCGTTAATTTAATTTAATTACAGTTTGAATTATTGATTAGGACATACAAATTTAAACTACGAAAAAAAAAAGAAGAAAAAAAAACATGACAAAATCAAGTTGTGGCTATATGGGGACTCGGGGCAGGAGGTAGCTGCCGGAATGGGTGCAAGAAAGGAATATTATATATTAATAATTATTATTTTATAGCTAGGGACAAATAAAGATACCTAGAATTATTAAGCTGTTAATCTTTGAATCCATCTGTCCCAGTAACTATATTGATGGAACAACAAAGGGGATCGTCTAGTAATAGCTTGTTCCATCTTACATTGCATAA